AACTTGAAGAGCTATATTTTCCGGCCGCCTGTTTTAAGTGAGTTCTATTTATTTTATGGCAAGGAAAAAAGTCATGAAACTTTTTTTTCGCCTTCAGGCGCCCGATTTTTCTCACGCGCGCCTTCCGCTGCGACCACTTTAGGGCATTTGACGTCAAAAAACACTTGGCACAGGGGGGTGGGCGCAGTTTGCAGAAATTGATTCTTGGTGGCTGGGAGGAGGATAAGGTAGGGTATGTTTTTGCAGGGTGAAGAGTGAGGTAGGGTAAAAAAGTTTGAGTTGTTCCAGTGTTGGTAGAGTAATTTTAATAGTAGGAAGGGGTTAGTAAGTCTAATTTTTAAAGTCAAACCTAATTTTTTAAATTTTTTTTTGATTTTAATTCTGTAAAACATTTTTAAAACGACTGTACTGATCACAAAAGATGCCATTTCCAATACAGCTATTTTTGTATTACATCTTCATAAAATTTGTTTCCCCTCCAGAACCAAATGACTCACTTTAACCTAATTGTGAACGTTTTCGAACGTTCCGTGCCCGTATAAGCCTTTACACTCTGAAAAACACTGTAAAAGGCTGCAAAAGACTTATGAGACTTTAGCTGTTTTTTGCTTTTGAATTCTTAATTTCACTTACTTTTAAAAGGGCTAAATGGTTTTGGCTTTCTCTGCTACTGCAAAAACTTTCACATAGTTAAAGTTTTTGGTTCAAGAAGTTACGAGGAAGAACGTGCAAAGTATGTTTCTTAATTAGGCGCTGTTTTGGAGGTAAAATGCCTTTTTTGAGGGTTAAATTATGAGTTTGATATTAATTTTTTTTAGTTTTTTGTTTAATTATTTAACAAGGAAACTGCTCAACTTGCTCATAGACATAAGAAACGGGCCGAGCCTGAGCAAAATTTCCATCAGGCCGAGCCTAACATTCAGGCCCAGCCCGGCTCGCTTCTCATGTCTACTTGCTCAACTCGGATTGACTTTAAACTTTTAATATAGAAAGATTCTGTAAATATAAGATTTTCATCAAAGTACTAAATTGCGCTTTCTAGTAGAACTCGAGAAAATCAAGATCAAAGAATTACGTTTTGAATTTCCCGCTGAATTGGCACTGTGTTTCAAACTTGTACCTTTGTCAGTTTTTGATTTTTAATAACTTTTCTTTGATTTACCAGTAGAAAATCTTTATATGAGCCTACAATTTTAAATTTGTAAGCGTATCTTATTTGGAAAGTTGAAAAAAGTGCTTGAAAGATGACGTTAAATTTGGCAAACTGGCGGAAAGTCAATAATCTAAATTTAAATCTCAAGAGCGCAAGCTAAATTTTTATAGGTACTATTAGTGGTACAAAGAATTTATATAAAATTTTGAGTTGACTTCGAGCTGGGCTTGGGTACTTTTTTTGTAAAAGGTCCTCTGTTTATCTTCAAAAAAAAGTTTTAAAGTATTTGCCTTTGAAAGATTTTTCTATTTTTTCAATTTTTATACAGTAAAAATGATCAAATTCATTTTTTCAAAATCACTTACCGTCAAAATGCCATTATCATACGTTTTGTTTTTGTGTGACGTTTTGGCCAAAGTTGACCGCAAAATACTTTTTTCGTATCAACTTTTAGCTTGCCTGTGGTCTTGAAGACGGTTATTTGATACGCTGCCGATGGATTTCTTGGGCTTTTCAAAATTCTTCTCTTAAGGGCTTCGAAAGTCGTCGTATTTGTTACGTAACTTTATTTAAGTTTGTTTTTGGGGCTGTTTTTTTCTAAATTTATTGATTTTTTTTGTATTTTAGAAATTAAAATTTCATGAAAGACGTTTTTAGATCACTTTTGCTAGGGTAAGAAACCGTAGAAAAAGGTGTATATGGGTAAAGTAGAGCAGAGTAAAGTAAGATAGAGTAGAATAGGGTGAGCTGCGTTAAAGTCGGGTAGGGTAGGGTAGAGTAGGTTAGAGTGAAAAAATTTATGAGATTTCTTATAAATTTTTTTAAAATTTAAAAATTCAAGTTTTTTTTTGAATTTAGCAGCTTTTTATTGATTTTTAAATTTTGATTTTTTTTCAAATTACGTTTGCCTTTGGTTATACTAGGCTTAAAAAATGTAAAAAAGCGGTTATTAAAAGCTGTAAATTTGCACAAACTGGTCATTTGGCCAGCTATGGTTTTTTACACTAAACAACACGCAATTATTACTGGTCTTACTTGTTTAAAATAAATTTTAATTTTTAATGTAAAATTTTTGGTGGCTTTCATTACGATTTCTTTTGTAAAATACGTTTTCTCTACAAAAAGCTTCAGATTCTGTTGTCTGAGCTTCTTTTCTTAATGTTTCTTATGTTCACAAAAACCAGTTTACGTACTCATAACTATGCATTTACTAATCGTATTTATTATAACTTTACCTTTATTTCACAAAAGTAAATTGAAAAATTAAATTTTGACTTTGTTGATCTAGTAGTGCAACAATAGTCTATTCTGTGAATTGTAAATGAAGTTTTGGGGATTTAATCTAACAATAAACAAGTACTTTCTCTGTACAACTAAAACATCCAAAGCCGAATCCCTATTGTTGTAATTCATTAATCATGGCAGTAGGAGTGTTTACTATGCAAAAAACATTTGGTTTTCAGTTGGGGTTTTGTAAAATACGTCATCGTGACCGGGGTTATTATATTTTTTTAAATTATTCTCGAAATTTGAGATCTGAATGTAGGGCAGCATCAGGTTGTTCTACTATTAGGTTAAGGGTAAGGCAAGGGCAAGGCAAAAGTAAGTCAAGGAACAAAGACAAGGGTTAGGCAAGATTAAAGAGTAAGGCAGGGGTAAGGCAATAGTGAAGCCAGGGTAAGGCAAAGGTAAGGCAAGGGTAAAGCAAGAGCAAAGTTAGGGTAGGGAGAGAGGAGGACATCATTTAAATAATCTTTTGTGGGTGTTTTGGAAGATTAACTATTAATACGATTAACGTTTCCCACTTTTTATCACTAGTTATCAAAAAGGCTTGGAACTAATTTTATCTTTAGCTCCCTCCCTTTCCCCCTCCCCACAAAAATTTTTTTTTACAAATTTTTTTTATTTTGCCATTCCACCCAAAATGACATGTCTTTAGGCTCGTTCTTCGAGTTGAAATTTGTTTTGTGCACTTTATGAAACAATTTTAATTAGATTTTATTAGCCGTAACTGTCTGTTAAGCGGCCCCAAAAAACTTTTCCCCACTTCGCTTGGACTGACATTTGGAATTTGTGTTAAAAATTAATTGCACTTGAAGTCAAGTCGATGGAAGGAACAAGCTCGATGCGTTCACTTAAGCATTTATTAAAAAACTCGTATTTAAAATGGCATTATTCATCTTATTTTTGTTATGACGGTTGACTGTTTTGTATGTATATGAAGGTCTTCAGAGAAGGGTTTGGTATACAAGCTCTCAAACTTTTATTGATAAAAATGAGATTTGAACTTAAAAATTAGGGTTTTTAAAACATTTTTTAAAGCCTAGGGGTAGCCGAGAAGACAGAAGGACCAAATAAGGGGTGTTTTGGAGAAAGAACGAGGATATTGCATGTAAGGCCGCAACTTTTCATTTACTTTAATTTAAAAGAGTGCGCGGGCGAAGAAAGCCAAAATTTTTTATTTAGTGAAAAAAGTTCTCTACTATCCAGAAAAAAATTAGTAAAAGTAATTAATAAAGCAATTTCAGTCTGGACGAGGTAAAAAAATTATTCACAGTTAGTTTTTTCATAGAAAAGTTTTGGGTTTTTTTTGAAAAACAATGTCAAAATGGAATCTCCGTGTAAGGAAGATCATGTGAAGTAAAGAAAAAATTGTTATATGAGATATTGTAGTACTTATATAGTCTTTATATAGAGTTGCTTTTTAACTTTTTAGAAGATATGTTGTTTTTTTTTGGGTTTCTGTCTGCAGCAAACGGCCTTGGAGGACGGTGGGTGAAGGTGTTTTGTATTAAAAAACGTTTTTTTTGCGAAAAACTTAGAAAACAATGTATAATTCCTTTGGTAATACTTTTGTTGACAAGAAATGAAATATAAGTTTACAAAAGTAAACATTCTGTTGGAACTTTTTACTTTTTTCAAGTTTTTTTCATTTTTTGAAAAAAAAATTAAAATTTTGAACCTAAGGGATCAGTTTTGACTTTTAAAAACGCTTTTTTGTATAACAACTCTACTTTACTGTCTGAATGTTCACTAGAACTTCTATATAACGAACTGCTGTATAACGAAATTCTTTTACAACGAAAAAATTTCAAGTCCACAAGCGATTCGTTATACTGGAGCTTCATTGTATTTGATTGTTCAAATAATTCTGTGCCCCAAAACCCTGAAAGTTTATTTTTCGAAAGGGCACTGAATTATATGAACAATTTAATATTTTTAATTGACAGAACATATTCCTTTCATAATTTAAATTCTTATCTCTACCATTATATACATACTCACCAGCACGCACGAAATGATACAAAACCGCGCCGTTTTCAGCCATTACCTCTTTTATTACTCTGATTAAACCGACTTGTATGTCAAATATATATAGTAATGTCTACGAATTTGTAATTAAACGAGGCCCGAGCCTGTTTGGTGGGTGCATAGGTATTGTGCTATTTACTCGACATGTCACATAACCCCGGGAATAGTGTGTCAGTGAATTAGAAAAACAAGAAATTTCACATTAATTTCGGATATTTTGTGTTACGGCTTTTCAGCTAATGTGCCCAAATTAATTTTTTCGTGTCTTGGGGATGTGAAAATCCGCGCGGAAATGAATTTACATATACATGACTTAAATTACGATCGGATTTATGTATATGTTTTGCGTTGAGCAATTTATTATCTTTTGGCAAATGGGTTATACGTAATATGTTAGAGACATGGGGTTAGTAAGGGGTTATAATTTTTTAGATTTTTTTTAAATTTTGTAGCTTTACTTATCGAAAGTTTACGTAATTTAGTTCCAAATACGTATGGGGGTTTTTTAAGGCTGGAGAAGACAGTATAGTGCAGGATGGGAAAGTTAAGGCACGGTAGAGTAGGGTATTGCACACTAGGCAAGAGTAGGTAAGAGAAGTCCGTTTGAGGCAGGATAGAGCAAAGTAGAGTAAGATAAAGCAGGGCCGGGCATTGTAAAGCCGGGTAAAGCAAGGTAGAGCAGAGTTTAGCTAACCAGGGAAGGTAAACGCAAAATACAGGAGAGTACAGTAGATAAGAAAAGACATATCAAACTTTTTTTATTTTTTGGTAAGGGGTCAGTTTGGCACGCCAGGCAGACTTAACTAATTTTTTATCATTGTATGCCTTGTCTACTACAAGATGCAGTCGATTATACTATCTTATTTTGAAATTATTAAAATTTTTTTTAAAGTAATTTAACTGTCAAAACACGCTTTTCGTCTTTGATCGTGAAACTTAACCAGAAGACTTCGCCCTCTAGTACTTTCTAAAAAACATTGTTTTATGATTTCACCCCAACATTATAGTAAACTACATTTGTTTCGGCTTAAGAAATATCATTTGTACTAATGTATATTCATAAGACTTTGCATTAGCTCTCGTTTTCACTTAACTTAATCAAATTCACCGCCACTTTTGTTCTGCTGAATTAATTTGCATTTTTTCACCAGAAACTTTCGCCGTTTTTAAGTCCAAATCCACGTTTCTAATTTCTTAAAAATTTCGAGAAAACCCAGCCAGCCATCCGCCGAGCAGCCACAGGAGAACGACCAGCACAGTGCGTTCCACACCGATCAGCCCTCAACGTCGGATTCGAAGGCTTGGCTACGGGGCAAACAGGAGGAACCCGACGCCGAAGCCGATTGGAGAAGTGCGCAGGTTGGGGACACATTCAACAAACATTCACTCAATCACGGTCAAGACGCGTGGGAGACACGGCAGCCACGGCTTGACTACGGCCATAACGGTAGGGTGAAAGATAATTGTTATGGGTAAGGTAGGGTAGGGTAGGGTAGGTAGGGTAGGGTAGGGTAGGGTAGGGTAGGGTAGGGTAGGGTAGGGTAGGGTAGGGTAGGGTAGGGTAGGGTAGGGTAGGGTAGGGTAGGGTAGGGTAGGGTAGGGTAGGGTAAGGCAGGATAGGGTAGGGTAGGGTAGGATAGGGTAGGGTAGGGTAGTAGGGTAGGGTAGGGTAGGGTAGGGTAGGGTAGGGTAGGGTAGGGTAGGGTAGGGTAGTTTAGGGTAGCGTAGGGTAGGGTAGGGTAGGGTAGGGTATTTTGTGTTTTAGATTTTTAAATTTATCGATCAGTTGACAATATTTTTTACATTTTTTTATATTTCAGCATACCCAGTCGAACGCTCCTTCCGCCAACCACCTACAACAGTCAGCACAAGTGCAGCGAGAGCCGCGAACTCGGCCGCTTCGGCGGCGGCCGCCGCCAGCCGGCGTTTCGGCGGCTCGTCCGAAGCCGCTGACGACTTTGTCGACTCGACCGAGCCCTTGCTTGATCTCAAATCTTGTTTCAAAGGACCTCATTGGTAAGTATAAATTTAAAAAAATTTAGTTTAAGACATAAAAATTTATAAAAAAAATTAAATTTTAAAAAATTAAAATCAAAAAAAAAATTTTAATTCAAAAATTTTAGTCTGCGCGCCCTTGCGAGCGCAGCAGCCGCGGCAGCAGCGACGCGACAGCCAAACTCACAACGAACGTCGTTTCCACGTTTGAGTGGCGACGACGGCAACATCGAAACGCTGGCGCGCTTTCACGACCATAATCTTCCATTAGACGGGATGGCTAGTCTGGAAAGCCTCATCGGGTAGGTTTTATGTTATCATAGATGATTTTAAATTTCAAACAAAATAAAATTTAAAAAATTAAAAATTTGCAACTAAAAGCTGATTTTTCGTACTAAGCAGTACTAACGTACTGAATAGTACTAACGTACTAAATAGTACTAACGTACTGAATAGTACTAACATGCTGAATAGTACTAAAAGCCATTTTTTTAACTTTAAAAGCTGTATGTTTTGTATATATTATTGTAATGTAGTCGTACGTTTTGTATTGTCCATTACTTTGTTTTCCTGCCTTCAAATCTAAATTGCCATTTTTAAATTTTAAAAGACAAAAAATTCAAAGTCTTTTTTGTCATGACCAAAGTACTAAAAGCTGTCTGAAAACTTTAAAAATTTAAAATTTGTTTTGGATTTAACAGACGTTTGATATACTAACGAGGTGAGGAAGTAGAGAACATTAACGTAGACATACTGAGCTTTAGCCGGAAGTTTATCGTTTTAATGAAGAAGGGTACTAATTTCAAAAAAGACACTTAAAGGGTTGAAAACCATACATTAGGTAAAAGGTTATTGTAGGTTTAATTTTTTTTGTTATAGAAGGAAGGGGGGGGGGAGGGGGGTTAAAATTTATTTTTTTTTGTTTAGCAAGGCTTTAAAGCGAAAGAATTTTGAATTTTTTTTGGGTACAAAACAAAAAATTTTTTCACCACCCTTTATAAAAGTTCAAAATCACCTGCCCAACACAAATTTTTTTAAAAATTTTTGCGGCAATTATTTTGTAAAATACGGCGAGCTCACTACCTTTCCTTCTCATGCCTTTTCGACTGTTCAAACCTTTGAAAACGTTTAAAATGTCATCTCGAATGTCATAAGTTTAAAAATTCTACTATTTTGACGCAGCGAAACGAGCGTTCAAAGCTGGAAAAAACTGGCCCAAAAACCTCTACAAACCGACGACTTTTTTGCTGTCAAAACGGCCCAACCGCCCGTTTTAGGCCTATTGTGTTGAACTTTGTCCGATTCCAAGACATTGGCCCCATTTACAAGGGCGAACATGGTAACACATAGTTTTTGATACTAACGAAGTCCCATAGAATTTTCTTGTTATTTTCTCACAAAATCTGGCGGAATATTTGAGTCGGGGTGGGTTAGTGCATTGCCAAACTGCCGCGAATCCGCTTCACCATAGATTTCCTACTCGCGAATCTGTTCGAAATGGACACCATCCTGATTACCGAGCCGTAGGTTGATTTTGGGATTGTTTTTCGTTGATAATGAAGAAATTTTAATTTTTTTTTAAACGAAAGATGGTTTATAAAGGGATAGTAAAATGTAAAAAAAATAAAGGGATAGTAAAGTGTTAAAGCCCAGTTTTAAATATGAATGTTGTTTGGCCTTTGATAATTGTGTTTGTGAATTACGTGAACTCCAGCTGAGTTTTCCGCAACGTTTCAAAGAGTTCCTTTAGAGTTGTAGTTCATTCTTAAAACATTTTAGTTTGACTGAACGTTAAAAGTTCATTTTTTAAAATTGTTTTATATAGTACTTTTAGAAGCTTTAGGTCATTTTATTATATATTACTTTGAAATTATTTATGTCATTTTAGGCCTCAAAATCTATTTTTTCAGTACTTGTAACTAACGTTGTAATACATTAGTAAAACATACTTGTAAAGCTTGTACCTTATTACTAAATTTTTTATGATTAGGCTGTTCAATTAATTTTGTGCCCTCTAACTTTGCAAATTTGTTCTGAGATTGGGCACAAAATTATTTGCACAACCTAATAATGTAGACTTTTTGAATTAAACGTTGAAAGTTTTAAAATTCAGTTTGGGTTTAATCCTAACGGATTGAAATTGGATAGGTGTTAAGTTTGTCGCTTATGCAAAAACTTTTGAAATTTCGTACTTATTCGAAAAGTTTAAAGATTGCCCTTTGATTGAAATTCAAAACTTTCTCAACTTGACTTGAAGGCATAATTTTGAAAAATATTTTTTATTTAGATTATTATACCAAAACCCAAACTCAAAAACTGCTACCTAGTCTCGGCTAGCCGAATATTAGCACCCAAAGAATTTGCATAGGAAATAAACGCTTTGGCTCTTTTGAGGTTTAATCACATTTCATTTTGGTGTTTTGAAATTATGACCAGAAGTTAAGCTAGTCAGATAATATTTTGATTAAAAAACATTTAGTCACAATTTGTTCGTTATGTACTTTTTGAAAAGAAAATTGTCAAAAAGTATAATTTTTCAAACGCTAAAGCTATACTTTTAAAACTTTTAGGAATATTGAGTGTAGTGGAACTTACTAGCCAAAGCTATCTAACAGTTTTTAAATATGGGTTTCCCGGTAACTTTTTATGCCGTTTCATCCTATATAGGTCTTGTTTTAAAAGCCGAGAGATATTTGGTGCAATATCTTAGTAAATTTATCTTTTTAAACCTCTAGATCGTATTTTAAATTTTAAAAGTAAAAATTTTTATAGTTTTTCGTATTTTACGTTGTTTATAAGAGTTTAAAATTAATGCCTTTGAATGAAAATTGGCCAAAAAGATTGATTGAGAGTTATTTTTTGTTTATTTGTTGTCAAATTATTCGACCACAAGAACATTTGTTCTTCCGAAAAACTCTTCTTTTCCTGAGGGGGAATTGTCATAATCAGCAAGGCTAAGGTCAGGTGAGGAGCCATCTTGTCGCTTTATGACAAAACCTTTATTGAGGGGTTGAACATGACATTTGGGCAGATTTAGTGGGATTTTTTTTAGGGTTCGAATGTTTTTTGTAAAATACGAGGAACTTTAATGAACTAAACATTGGCAGATTTTAAATTTAAAAATTTATAAAAAATTTTCATTTTAAAATGGTTTTTTAAAAATTTTTTAACTTCAACACAATTTTATGGCCCAAAACTTAATTTATGCCCAAAAGACGTCGCTTTTTTGTGAAAAACATTAAACATTAGGGCCACATTCAAACTTATGATAAATAGAGTGGGACGCAACCCTGTAATTAATAATACACATGCCTTAAAGTTTTTGTACTTCATACTCACGTTATCTTCTTGGAATATGCCTAAAAACGTAATTAATTTTATAAGCGGCCGGATATTCTTCTTTATATTGATGGTTTAGTTCTGGATTTTGGGTTGTTAAAGGGTGGCAGGGCTTTTAGGGGTTGCTTTTGTGTTGATAAAGTGTCGCAGGGCTTTTGGAGATTGATTTTACCTTGATTAACTATAGCATGGTTTTTGGGGGTAGATCGTAGGATTGATAAAGTACGTCAGAGTTTCTAGGGGTTAATTTTGGGGTTAGTTAGTTTATATACAATGGGAATCTTATATAACAAACTCCTCTATACCGCAGTTGCTTCGTAAAGAACAAATTTTGCATTACCGAGCGATAAGTTATACAGAACTTTCACTTTATATGGGCAGTTAAAGTCTTGTCGTCAAACTATATTGTTTTCAACAGTAAAAAACGACAAGACTTTCTTTTGCATTTTTATAGTTTGTTTTTAGGTTTTTTGAAGGATACACAGGACAGGGCGGTGTAACTGGAGGTTTTTTATAAAAAAAAGTTCTAGTGAAATGAAAAATATTTTTTTTGACAATTTTTATTTAAAAAAAATTTTTTCACATATTTTTTTTTTCATTTCACAAACTCTGACCTCATTTTGCACTCGCCTAAACCTGTCATAATCTACCCCCAGTTGCTTAAAAATTAATTTCAACGAGTCATTGAGTATAACGAGCCTTCCCTCCCCCCTCTCTCATGGACTATTACCCTCCAGCCTTTCGACGCCCATTTTTAGCCATTTATGCCGTCGAAATTTTTATGAAATTTGGGAAAAAAAATTAAAAAGAACCACGCTAATTTGTCTCCAAAAAGATGTCAAAAAATTTCACGTGCCAATTTCGTTTTGGGCCGCGTTCCATTTCGGCCTGAAGCAAAACTCCTGGGGCACCTTGCGTTCATAAATAATTGGATGGACTTTTTGTTGTATTCTTGAAAAGAATTTGTGCATTTTTAACGGTTTTTCAAAGTTTGCTAAGACCTGATTTTGAAATTGGCATCTTTTGCGTTGTCAGTGGTTGGGAAATGTGCGGAAATGCAGGGGGAAGGGAAGGGTTTAAAACTTTAAAAAACAAAGACTTGGAGGGGGTTAAACAATTTTAAAAAAGAAAGAGGTGGAGGAAAGAGAAGGTAAGGGTTGAACAATTTCAAAAAAAAGAAAGACTTGGAGGGGGAGGGTTGAACGGTTCTAAAAAAGGAAAGAAGGGGGGCGGGGAGGGCTGAAGAGCTGTAGAAAAGAAAAACGTGGAGGGGCGTTGAAGCAGTTTTTAAAAAGAAAGAGGGGGAGGAGAGATAAGGTAAGGGTTTTAAAATTTCAAAAACGAAAAAATGAGGGTAGGGAGGGTTAAACAGCTCAAAAAAAGGGGAGGATAGAGGTGGATAATTTAATAAAAGAAAAAGTAAAAGAGGGGTAGCACAATGAATTTTTTTAATTTTTAGGGTATGAATCTGTCATTTTAAATCTTTAATGGTTCTTATAGGCTCTGTACTAGGTAGTATCATTTCATTTTTACATTTAAAACAAGGTTCTTGAAAAAAAGTTTTTTTTAATTTTCGGGGGTGTTTGGCCATCTTTTTTGTAAACATGGTTTTTTGTACTGTAAAGTACTGCACCTTTAAGAAAAAAAAATATTCTCATTTTGATCACTTTCAGACTTTTTTTAAATTTTTAAAAGTTGAATGTATATATCAATAACTTTGAATTTTAATGAATAGCTGCAGTTAAACCTCTTTAGTATGACACTCAAAAACCTGCCACAAACCTGAATTTATAACCAGGGTAGCACATTATCTTGGTACGCTTTGATAGGAATAGTATTGCAAAGAGCAGTTATTATAGAAAGCTGTTGTTACAAACAAGGTTCCATACTATAGAGGGTCCTACTAAAGAGGTGTCACTGTAATAATAAATACAAAAAAAATTTTGAGTACATATTCACATTTTAGA